GTAATTTGAGGATTATGTTTGAATCTCGGTCTAATCGGGATGACGTATCCCACGCGGGTGTTGACTTCTCCCGAGGGATTAGGGATCCGACTTATAGGTCTTGGCTAATTCCGGAAATGCAACACACACGTGACGTTTTGCTCGTAATAAATAGATGGCATGGATAAGAATAGGCATATAAAATAAGTATATAAAAGAAACCACAAAAAATTTCTAGATCTATAATTTTCCGACGCTGAAATCAAATCGCGTTTACCGATATTTAAATTGATTCTAATTGATAAAAATTAAATCAATTGTTGATTATCCATATAATAATTTGATGCAATCTATCAATATCTTAACAAATTACAGCAATTTGTTAACGAGGAAATTGATTAATTGATGTACATAATCGAGGAAATAATTATAAGAGAAAACGCGCAATATGTTAATGTGTACCTATCATATCCGACTTTATCAACACGAATCAATGTTAGATCTTACCGCGGCCATCTGCCATCATGGTAAATCGGACAAATAAAAGCGCCGCGATTTCGAAAGACGATCGATCGCACGAGGGCATTCGTTTGCTGCCGTTGTCGCAATGCCGTGAGGTTAACGGATGGCCCGCGCAACCATCCGGCGACGCATTTTTCATCTGAATCATTTGACCTGATTTCTAAATTATCGAACAATCGTGCGAAGAAACGATACGACGCACATCGTGCGATAACATCAGGTACACTCATTGTTCAATTATAGATCGCGTTATCGCCGCGATCTCACGTGTCTTCTGTCTAATAGCTGTCAAACTTGTCAATACTTCCGAGTAGCTTTATCGTCACTCGAAAGAGTTTTCCGCGAAAGAGAAGCCTTTCATCGAAAACTCTTGAGACTAATGTTATCTCAGATAGTAGGGCGATGGGATCTCGATTAGTAAATTGAGCGATTAACAAGTGGTTCGACGCGGAATCCGATCGCGCAGAAAGCGCGGTAGTTTATCTATAGAGATATGTTAGCGAAGACTAATCGATCAAGTCGTTTCACAGGAATCACTTTTGAACTTTATCTAAAGAGTTCGATATCGAGATGCGCGCTGTAAACACGGTATAAATTACGCCGTTTTTCGTCGGGAGATCGAACGACTTAACTGAAATCTCGTAACTGAAATGCTTAACGCGAGTTAGACGGTATACGCGGACGTGATTGTCCGCGAATGAACAAGCGGCAGATTGTACGGTCGAACCAAACTCGAGATATTGGCAGATAACAGTATATCACGGGGTCAAGCAATCACGCCGAGTTTAATCAATGCTGACTCGCGCGCACGTCATAATAACGAGGCACTGTGCAGACAGCTTGTGATTTTATCCTCGTCGCGCGAACACACGATGTCGCGGCACGTATCCGCGATTTTCCGTTATATTCGTTCACATTTTACAATTGCAAATACCCGGATGAAAGTATTCAAACGCGTTTCTTATGTAAGATCGTTTGACGTAACGTGCTCGCGTCGGACGTAGCAACTAATGGTTCCCGCGGAAGTTAATGGTTGTCTTCTTTTCGTAATATAGCAAAGGTTTCGTCTTCATTTAGCTTTGTAACTATAGGAGAGCGTATAGAGCACAGGAGAGAGAAAGTTTCACGATTGTACGAGAGCGTAGAGGGGAGGAAAGAAAGAGCTGTTCACTAATAGCGTATTAAGATGTAGTCCCGATGTCCAGATGACTAATGACTGGTAATCTGGGCTTAGTGAGAAACGAGATTGGCGTATGAAATTCAGCACGAGATTTCAAACATAGAAAATGAATCACGCGAGACAATGATTTGATTACCACGAACGATTAATGTATGAAAATCATATCCGGCAAGTACTAAGGCGCGATCTTGACCTTTTACGACATTTCAATGAAAGTTCAATGATAATTATGGAAAAAAGGTGACTCGCAAATAGACGCAACGACGTTGTCGTCACATCGATCGGGTTATTCCATCTTGATCATGTAGAATTTGAGAAAGGGAGAAGAAGAAGGAGAAGCAATTGTAATATTTTTTATCCGCAGATACTTTCTCATAGAATCATCGTCTTGCTTATAACGTTCTTAAGTCTTAAGTAGTTTTATCTCGCAAATCTGGTTAATCGAACGTAATTACTTTATCGTTGTTTTTCATATTTATCTGTTTATCATCAATGCGATTTATCTACATTACGACTGTCAATTGTGAGTTTTTTAATGACGTTACATCACTAAAAAATTATCACTTTCGGTAATAATACGTAGAATGTATTACATTAATCTTATTTTCGCATGAAACAAATACGATTGCCAGATTACAATCTGGAAGCAGAGATTTTATATATCTGGCTCCAAGCGATCTTCATATGCTTCTCAAATTTTCGCTTATGCATTAGTCGAACTGTACACTGAGAAAAAAAATTTTGTTAATCCCAAAAAATATTTAGTCCGATACGAGCAACTAAACATGTTAGTTAGTTAACTAAACATTAGTTGTTTCAACAATTATTAAGTTGCACTAAAAAAAAATATAATGCGTTCATGTCAACCTTTAAAATTTTTTAATCAAGAATTAATTAATTTAACTAATGTTTAGTTAAACTACCTAAAATATTTAGTTGCTCGTATCGGACTAAATATTTTTTGGGATTAACAAATTTTTTTTCTAAGTGTAGGATAGACCGAGGCGAATCGGATCAATAAAACTTTTTAAGACAGTTTGTTAGTGTTTTGTTTTAAACGAACTGTTTTATCGTGCTAATTGGTAATCAGTAATTATATTGTACCCTATAAGGTAACAGGGTCTTGTTACGTTACTTTCAAAACGAGAAAGAGAAAGAGCGCGTCTAATTACGGTATAAAGTACTAGAAATTATCGCAGAAGGAGATATATAGTCTGCAAATAGTGCTAAATTTATGGCGGCTTTTGCTCCTTCGCGAAATCTCGACGTGACTACCTGAAACGAGATTGCGCGAGCTGTTAGTTTCGCGATATAACGCACAGCGGCACGCCGCTTCGCCGTTAAACCGGGCCTCAATTTTCGCTGGACTCGTCGCACTTGGAAAATCCTATTGCACAATAGTGTATACCCGAATGAAGTGCATTAGCCAACGTAACTCGTATTAAACGGAGAAGAGGCAGAAGAAACGTTCGATTGTACGCCGATTTTTATTATTCGCCTACATGTACACGGCGAGCGCACATTTCGCTCAAGTTTTCCCCGTCGACCCACTTAAGCCTTTCGAAATCCTCCTTATCTTTATGGTACCGTGTCTTGCGCCGTGGAAGCACTTCACGTTTGGAGAAGCATCGTAATAAACGCCACGCCACGCCGATATTTCACGAACAAGCAAACAATTTCGCGCCTTCCAATTGCGAATAAATGCTCGCTTGTTGAAGTGTCTCGACGAAACGTTTTCGTCGGTAGTAAAATGATAGAACATTATTTTGCTTTGCGTGAGGATCGATAACGAGAAGGCTTATCTAAAAAGCATTGTAATACCGGGTTTGAGAATGTTGTCGGTGTAAAATTACGTGTAAAATTGAGGGAACGAATATCGAAATGCGAAATGGGGATAGGAATCTCCGAGTCAATCTGACACGCCTCTTTTTTATGTTTCTTGTATCTTGGCTGTCGCTATCGTTTCATTTTTCTCTTGTTATCTGAAGATATTCTTGAAGATCAAATTATTGAAATTATCGTATGTCACAAATGTAATTACATTAGACAAGAGAGGTAATTGCCGCAGACAGTTTGATAAAAAGTACGGCAATGCACGTTGCGCTATCTATACCTCCTTATCACACTCGTTTCTCCTCGTCTTCGGTACATGTAATAAGCAGGCAGCGGGCACACGATAATTATATATTAGTTATTCCGATAAATGCGAGGCGTCTATCTATTTTCAACGAAAGGGGGTCAAACGATAAAGTTCAACGGGTTCAACGGTAAAGTTCAAAATAGGCTGCGAAGTGACTCGAGCGAGTGACAAGCGCGAAAAAAAAATCAGAAAATCCGAAACAGCTCGTCGATTTTGTAAAATCGACTGCCATGAATTTTTTCGCAACGGGATGCGCGATGGAACGAAGCGCGTGCCGAAATATATCGGACTACAAAGGACGCTTAATCAGCGTGTTATTCCGCGCGGCGGAATTATCCAATTATTAATCCGCCCCGCAGGTCATTACTCCGGCTCGCGCGGCAAGTATATATATTTGCGCGAAACACATATATTTGCGTTTATCTATCGACGTGAGCGCACGCACGTTCGCCACACGCCTGTGTAAAGATGATATACGCCGGCGATAGTGCTACCGATAAGAGCAGGAAGCGTAAATGAGACGGGACCGGCTTTGTTTGCCGCGTGTGAGCCTCAACGGTGCGCGTGTCCCCCGCGACGCTTCGACGGGCAATATATCTACACATGAATGACGTAAATATTCGTGACGAGATAAGGGTTGAGAATCACGCGCGAGAATAAGAGAGAAGGCTCGTGGGAGAGGATTCACCGGTTCTCCTCGCAGATATTTGCAACCCAGCTCCTATAGGATTTCTCCTTTGACCCCGGTTCTTTTTCTTCCGCGTCTTTCTTCTTTCTCCCAGCGTCTCGGGTTAGACGCTTCCGAGCTCAGTCTTCGCTGTTATCCGTTTTTCCATGAAAATCGTAAATCCAGGAAAATGGCGTTTTTTCTGTCGCCTTGGCAAATGTATATCTGGAGTCGTTTTAGTAGAAAGAATGGCGATAGAGATATTGCTCCATCTCAGGTAATTTAATTTCACGGCGCTTACATAACCGTAAAATCATGTAGATTCTTCTCAAGGTATAAAATATCTGACTTGAGGATGGAAAATAATGGTATTGCTCATTTATGAGTACAATTAATGCTCTATTGTACCGTTACCGATAATTTATCGATTTGTGAAACACAAACGAAGTATTACACAATTACTTTCCCCAATCGCTCTCCTAATGATCAACTCTTTTATCTTTTCGTTACAGTTCAAGAGAATGCTGAACAAGGAGCTGTCGCATTTCTCAGAATCGTCCAAGTCTGGGAATCAGATCTCGGAATACATCTGCAGCACCTTCCTCGGTATGTTAAACGTGATTCTTTTCCTTGGCGAGATTATTGCCAAATGAGACTAAAGCGACACAAATTATAAGTGCGGAATTGACGTATATATCGTACTCCTCTCCTCTCTCAGAACAAGACTGCGTCTTTTCGCGCGAATACCGGAGACAACGAATGAAAAGAAACTCACGAGAGTGCGTCTAACGAGGTCATCGCCGGAAGCAAGTTTATGGGTGCAATAAAACGAGCGCTCTTACGTATTAAAAGCCCTTGAAAGACCGTAGCCGGTATCGCCGCGCGACCATTCATTCTGGTTAGCTCGCTTTGTCCGAACGAACGGTCCGGTTGTAGTCGCGCAAGGTTTATAATCAGCGAGGGATCGCACTTCATTCCTTTGTATTCGATAGCGTCAGGCAAGAAAATAAAGAAGAGAAATATAAAAGATATGATTTCTCGACGTGACGTCACGTTGAAAATCGTTCTATCTGGTAGAGCAACCTTGTCTTGCGGCGCTTCTCAGCAAAATTCGCTTCTGACGCGCTGATTTCGTTACGTTAGTTTCCTAAACGAGTTTCGCTCGACCGAAATCGGATTATCGAAAGTCGACGACGGACAAAAAAATTTTTTTTTGAAGTTGTAGCCAAGTGGCGTGATAGAAAATGGAAAATTTTGCGCCCTCGTGAAACATGTACAATACTATTCAAATACATAATCTTACTTGCACTCGGTCGAATAATGATTCTTTTAACGTTGTCATGTTACAAGACGGATTATAAAACATGAATTTATCAGTCGATCTAATTGCAAACATCGCGTGATAAACGAACGTCAGTAATCTATAATCAAAGACGCAATATACAAATGCATTGTCATTTTAATAATGTATTCAAGCGCAGAGAATGCGATTGCACGGTGCAGTGACGAGCGCAATAAATTTTTTGTTATACCTAAGACAATGCATTATAATTTTTTTGTATATAACATTTAAATACTAAAATCGATTACTCATGCCGATCAATTATTCAAGTACGTTTATCCACGTCGCTTTTTTTGCCCGCAGACAAGCAGCAGGAGTTGGATTTGCCGTCTTTGCGAATCGAGGATGCGGTCGCCGCAGCGGGTAGCGTGGACGCACGGGCGGCGAAAAAGAAGGACCGCGTGCAAAGAGGTCCCGCCGCTATGTCGCACATCAGCGGGGTGAAACGGCCGTTGACACACACTAACAGCTTCACCGGGGAACGCGTGCCGCTCTACGGGGTGGAAACGCCACACGAGGAGGAACTCGGCAAGGTAAGCCCTTGACCTTCAATCGTCTCGCCGCACCGCGACGTTCCGCAGTAATCGGGATGATAGGTGGTTTTGCACCACACGCGACGTCGCACAGCTGGGTTCCCGAATCGCAAGATCGCGAAAAGCTGAAATATAAACGGCGCGTCATTTTAGATAAATAAAAAATTGAGTTAAACGCTACAAAAATACACGTTGCACGAGAACAATATCGTAATTATATCAAAAAATTATTGTTGCAACATTTTGCTGCAACGTTATGACGTCTTTAGCTCCGTTTTGAAATGTTAAAAACAAAACCGTTAAAAAAACTGTTGAATAAATAATGCTAAAAAAAGAGGGAGAGAGAAAGAGAGAAGTAAAAATTTACAAAATTTCCGGTAATATAAATAAATTATAATAATTATTTCCTGTTGCGTAAAGGTGGATACATGTGATGTTATAAATCGAAGTAGGTAAAAATATCTCGCATCAATTAAAAGTTAAATGATGACTTTCTATTTATCCGGGACAATTTTGCAACGCATGATTATATCATGCTTCCTGTCCAAGACAAATATTCCTGCAAGTTAATTCACGAGCGTCTGATATTGAAATGACAAACAACTGTTAATTTGCACCGTCTTACATTCTCAAAGTTTATCCGCATCCGAATGATCTTCGGCAAATGTCAAAGCACATAACGATGTGACATTTCGATAGAATTTATATATGTACTGGAATGATACGTACCGACGCTAAACTGGTTACGAGCCCTAATAGAATCGAGATTTATTCGACTGTACAATCATTAATCGCAGTCTAACGAGAGAGCGGCACGTGTAATCCGCGTTACATATCGATTATATGGCCGTAGGGCAGAAAAACAGAATAATTATATATGTTAATGATAAGTTGATAAGTATATAGTGCACGATTTTAATACGATTACCCCGATAATTACTGGGTTTTAATATGATTATTGCTTGATAATTAGTTCGATAATTGCAAAAGCTTGATTTAGTTATGAGGTAAAGAATGAATTTTCAATAAGAGAATTCGTAATAACTACACACTAATCGTATTAAAGTCATACAATATGTAATTATTAACGATCGTTCTGTTTTTCGAAAGGCCTTACGGTCGAACTTTAATATCGAGATTGATGTATCCTTTTTCGTTAGAAATGAAGCTATAATCGTCTCGACTATATTTTAATCAACTCTTGAGAAGGTTTGTATAACCGGTCGACACGTGGAAATGCCGTACGAATTAATAACGAGATTTACCGGTTCTCCAACCGGAAAGACAACTTCGTAACTTTCAACTGAAGGATTAGACATCCAAGGAGACAGATAGCCGGAAATTTTGACTTAAGCCAGCAAAACATATTTTTTCTAAAAGCACTCGTATTACGTAAAACCTATGCTGCGCAGTTGAATTTCTAAAATTTTCTACATACGATTAAAGATCAAAGTTATTACGTGTCTTACGAAATATTGACAGCAAAAATACTAATTAATTCGAATTAATTGTGCGAAATAAAATTATTGCTATTATAATCGTGGGTAATATCGTATTTCGCGAGATCATAACTTTAGATTAACAGAACGGTCTACTAAATATACACTAAATACACACTAAAGGTTCTCGTCTCTATTCTTCCACGAAAAGTTTTCATTTGCCGAATTTATTGCGACGACGACCTTGTCGACGGTCCCGTTTATTGTTTCTTTTCGTTCTTTTGATCCGCGCGCGATATTGACGTAAAATCCCATCGCGTCCGAGAATTCCGCGATGTTTCTGGCTTTCATCTCCGTCCGGCCATGGATATCTGTACCGTGCTATATCGCTCGAATCGCGGCGTCACACTATACGCCTGGCTACGGTTTCGGAAAATTCTGAAATGGCATTCTCGTTGCACGTACCCGCGCTGATCGAACTTTTATTTACAGTATTCGTGATTTTACGGCGGCATTAGTGTGCACAACGCAAACAATGTAGCGACACAGTGAGAAAGAAAGAAATGTAAAGGAAAGGAAAAGAGAAAAAGAAGGAGAGAGATTAGACCGGATTACACATAAATCTCGCGGATTAAAAAGATTACGGGAGCGCAAGCTTTGCGATCGGCAATTAAAATGCTTCGCGCAAAGCTTACGCTACTTCACCGTGCCAAATCTATATTAACTGTGGATATTCACAGAACTTTCATCATTTCGGTATCACGAGTCTCGACATTTTGTTCTCTTGGAAAAAAAAACAACCGTATGTTTGTCGCGTTATTTCAACGTGGGCGCGAGATGAGATTCAAGCGCTGAATATATATCCGAGTTAATTCATTATATATAGAAAATCCCTGAGGTAAATTCCCCCTCGCCTTCCCTCCTCTCTCTGGATGATATTAGAGGATTCGCCAGGTAATAGTGAAGAGTAATGATTGTTTTTAATGTCAAGGTATTACCAGTCACGGAGCGGCAAAGCTTAATTGGTCTTGGCGAACTGAAACTCCAACATAATGACGTAGAAGTTTATCATCCCATATCCCATTTTTCATTCTAATTTACGCGAACGTTTAATAAAGAATTTTTTTTTAAGGAATTTAATTTTGTTACGTTCGTACCAGCTCGGAATTTATTAATTTTCGTATTTCGTTGAATTACTTCCCCGATGCCGTATCATCCCGCGCTTGTATTCCCCTTTCCTTCTTTATATTTGATTGCGAGCTTATCTCTTTGTCGGCGATGAATACGTGACGGTCGGCGCGCGCGGATAATACGGTGTAAATTTTCAGAAAGCAGAACATTTACCCTGTGGCATACGATTACGTTGATTACAAGACCGATTGTATTTTAACCGGTGGAAGCATTTGGGCCGAGGTCGCGCGACTTCGATAACCCGAATGGCTTTACGATTAGCGACGCGCATCTTCCACGAAAGAGAAACTGATTTTCGGCGCTTCTACGAAAGTGATATCGCGATCTCAACGTTGTTCACGGTGACCTGAAATGAGATTCGAGGAATGTTTCGAGGTACTCTTGATTATCACGTGTATCAAAATTTTTATTTGCTACTTTTATATTAAAAAATATAATACGCAATTCAAGTCTATGAAGCGATGACGCTTCAGGGAGGAATAACTTCAGCATTCTTTGTATATTCACTTGGAAATTTCACTTCTGGGAAAGTAAACCGTGAAAGGGGCCATCTTTCCATTATGCAAATTGAGGTAAATTTTCTTAATGAAAGAGAGGAAGGAACCGGGTGTATTAAGCGCCGCTATTCTGCATATTAATCAGATTTCACGTAGAGAGAGAGAGACTGTTGGCGATACGTTCGCCGGAACTATAAATGCGACGCAGACGTGTCCTTAAATGGCTACGTGATTCTGCAGGCTCCCCGAGACCAGAGACCCATTTTTCTACCCACGCAATTATGATTCAATCTTCTAGAATGTCACCTTAATGTCGCTGTGGATACTTTATTTGGCGTGCGAGTTCGTCGCTTCCCACGTTTGTTCGGAAACCAGACTGTTATTGACTTGAAACTTCACGGTCGAAAACCAATCGTGCATTGCTACTCGATAAAAATCGCGGTTTAATGATATTTACAATTGATCCAGTCAAGTCTTCTTCAAACTGGTTCGCTTGCCGCTTCGTTTTTTATCGCCTTCGTTGTCGCGCGAATAATATGCGAGACTATGACGTTGCCCGTGAATAATCAGCTTTGCGTACGACCTCTCGGCGATAACGCAGGACCTCCACTATCTACGTACTTGAAGACACGTCGTATTCTTTCGTTTAACGAATCGCTACAAGGCGCATTCGTGCTCATAATTAATATCTACGCCGCGGTATAACAATTGAATAATGATCACAATCAATCTTTCTCTTTCTTTCTCTCTCTCTCTCTCTCTCTCTCTCTCTCTCTCTCTCTCTCGCCGGTATCACTTCAAAACGAAACATTTAATTTATCGTATATACACAACGCCGTTGTATTATTGTGAATATCATTGAGAATGTTTTACGTAATATGATTTGCAGTTGTTGTCGGATATCGACAAGTGGGGTATCGACATCTTCAGGATAGGCGAGCTTAGCAACAATCGGCCCCTCACCTGCGTGGCGTACACGGCCTTCCAGAATCGAGATCTGCTCAAATCGCTGGCGATACCACCCAAGACCTTCGTTACCTTTATGATGACCCTAGAGGATCATTACGTGAAGGATAATCCCTTCCACAATAGTCTCCATGCAGCTGATGTGACACAATCTACTAACACTCTGCTCAACACGCCCGCACTCGAGGTTTGTATATAATACATGTACTTTTTGCTTATGTAATATCGGTTTCCTCTTTTTTTTTTTTTGAGCTCGGAACTAAATAGCTTGTTCTCACACAGACGATAAGCTTTACAAATATCCCGTTGACGAGTACAAGATACTCGTGCTTTGTAAAAGGAAGAACGGAGGAGTGAAATTCTCTCATGAAAAGAGAAATGTATTCTCTGTGTGATAACGTATCGTAAATGGTATATTTTATTTTATGTTACAGTCCGTGTTCACGCCATTAGAGATTACCGCTGCATTATTCGCGGCTTCCATCCATGATGTAGACCATCCCGGACTCACAAATCAGTTCCTCATTAACTCAAGTAAGTATCGGCGAAATTTATCAAGTTTTCTACTCTGCGTAATCCGTTTCTCTACGCCGCGCTAAATATTTACATTATTAAATAGCACGTTATATTTATCTTATCGAAGAAGAAAGACAGAGGGAAAAGTAACTGCAATCGTTGCTCGTTATTTCTGTGATTATTGCTTTTGTAATGATCAGCAAATTAATGATTCGTTTTTTCCTTCGTTCAGGCTCCGAGCTCGCGCTGATGTACAACGACGAGTCGGTGCTGGAGAATCATCACTTGGCGGTCGCGTTCAAGCTACTGCAGAACGAGGGCTGCGACATATTCGTGAACATGACGAAGAAGCAACGGCAGACGCTGCGGAAGATGGTCATCGACATGGTCCTCTCGACAGACATGTCAAAGCACATGTCGCTGCTGGCTGATTTGAAGACCATGGTGGAGACGAAGAAGGTCGCCGGTTCCGGCGTGCTGCTGCTCGACAACTACACCGATCGTATCCAAGTGCTGGAGAACCTGGTGCACTGCGCCGACCTGTCCAACCCGACGAAACCATTGGCTCTTTATCGACGATGGGTGAGCTTGTTGATGGAGGAATTTTTCCTGCAAGGCGACCGCGAGCGGGAGCAAAACATGGACATCAGTCCGATGTGCGATCGGCACAGCGCGACCATCGAGAAGTCGCAGGTCGGCTTCATCGATTACATCGTGCACCCGCTCTGGGAGACCTGGGCAGATCTGGTGCATCCGGACGCGCAGGATATTCTGGACACCCTCGAGGAGAATCGCGACTGGTACCAGTCGATGATACCGCCATCGCCGCCGTCCGATGATCAACAACAATCAGCGAACGAAAATCAGCAACAACAAGATAGGATACACTTTCAAGTGACGTTGGAGGAGGGCGACGAGACCAGTGAGGCTGTAGAGGGTGGCGACACAGGGTGCGACGATGGTGGCGGCGAGTTCTCCAGCGAGGACCCTGGCGGTGAGACGGAGGAGAACGCCGCGGAGGCTGGGATGTGACGGAGGCTCGCCGGTATTTGCAGGAAGCTCCATGAGAAGGTACAGCAGAGTTGGTGGCGAGTGCGTCAGTGACATTCGCACCTAGCCGCGTCTAGTCGCCGGTCCTTTTGTATCGACCTATGCCACGTCGGCTGGACCACGAGGGAGGGCGGCGATTGAGGTGACAAGGAGGTCGTCTCGATCGAGCGGCAAGAGGCAACGTCCCGACGACGACGCGGGAATTATGGTTCGCGAAGTGCGAAGACGCTTTTTAGGATCGCTACGTTTTCGGCTGGACCGAAACGTGCGACGTGAACGGACGAAGCTGCACGTCTTTTGTCGTCGTCGTCGTCGTCATTTCAGTTTTCGTCTCCGCGTTTCGTCTCATTGAATACTATCAAGCGGGAGGGGCGAATCTCTCTTCACAAAGTACCTGCGCAAATGAAAGCGGCAGCTGCATGTTTGCTATGTCGAGTGGGTGGCAAGATGTTTCTTTTTCTTTTCTTTACACACGCACACACACCGAGGATGATGACGATCGGCGCGCACAGTGATCGTCCACTGATCGTCGTCTCTATCAATTGGTTTAACGACGTTGTGTCGCCGTCGAAGGCTGGAGGGAACCTCTCTTCCAGGAGACACGCAGGATCCTCAATAACATATCAACAGTGTACGATATACTATGGATTCTAACCGATGCGTATTAGCGATACTTCCGAGCAGAGAGATCGATGTCTCTGTCTTCTTCTTGGACATTTCGAGCACCGTGCGAAAATTGTTGACACGTAAAGCCAACGTTTGAAACTTGTACTTGTGTACGGCGAAAGTTTACAAAGAAATTTGTTTCTAATTCCTGCGTTACACTATAATGTCGCGATCAATAATGTAAGTTTAATAATGCGTTGCGTTCTCGTGATTTAATTTCGCGAATGATCGAAACGTTTCGCCAATAGTTGATACTTAAAATTATATCCGCGATATGGATCGGATCGAGCTTAATTTATAACGTCCGTTATCGAAAGGAATAAACAAAACAATTGAAATCAGAAAACAATTAAACGAAAAGATACTCAGTTGCAGCTAGGCACGTTCTATCCTTTTAGTTCTTCGACGGTTATTCGATAGTCACCTACTTATCGGTAGAAAAAGGGAATACCTGTCTTTAATCGTAAGATTTTGTCATGTTCGCTTTGTAGACGTAGACAAGTTGGTAAGTGAATTGTTCGTAATCGAAAAACGAGAATCCAGAAGTAGCCGCGTGTCCGTAAAGGAAATGCTAGGAAGTGCAAACACGTAGAGTATTACCCGCCGTCTGTATGATTTAAAGCGAAAGGACGTCCGCTTCTTTCTCCCACATCGTGCGATCGGCGGGAGAGCACCGAGCAGCAGAACGGGGAGGGGGGGGGCATCGAGATAAGAGGGTACAATTAATTTTAATACACAACTATGAGAGCTGGCCTTTTAAGTTTGTATTAAAATTAATTGCCAGAGCCGCGAGACGCTTTCTTGCGATATATACGATACACACAAGAGTACACACACACATACACACGTACATACACACGCGCGCACAATACACACAAACGCAATACGTACAATTACAGTACGAGCGAGGATATATATCGATAGATGTTTTTAACCAAAGAATAATATAAGTGATTGTTAAGTCGATTGCCGAGCGTGCCGTTCACCAATACGTCTTCTGACGACGAATAATTCCAGCGACGGTAAACGTATCATCCTGGAAATTTCGCGTGAAATGTCAGAGGGAGAAGTGTCTTCATCACGGATGTCCATGAAACGCTCAAATTTGCAAGTTCGTTCGACGTTCAAGCCACGATCGCAATCCGAATGGACTTTGGAACGCTGGTGAACGCCGAATGTTCGCGCCGCTGTGTTTTTTAATGTTTAAAAGTTATGCCGGCGTTTACGCCGCGAGGATAATTTTTCTTCTTCTCTTAGACTACGAGTCGCATAAAAATCCTTTTAATTTACGGGGGGAGGAAAGCGGAGTAGTCGTCCGTATTGGTGGAATGGCGACAATTTCGCGCCTCGATGATATCAGGGAAACGAATGCAACACGTTTTATTACGCGATCGATGGGCGAGTGTGTCGAGGATCAGCCTAAAAAAAAAAAACAAAACAAAATTAACGTTTCACACTACTATTCTAAGTCGTGAGCTTGCCATCGACTGCGCGAAGTAGGGAAAATAAATTCGAGTCTGATCGTGAACGTGCGCGTAAGCGACCGGTAGCTCGGGCTCACGTAATCGTACATTTCTTAATCACGTTAAGGGAAATTACCTAAATCGCATAACAAAAACAGAAAAAAAATGGAAAAAAAATACTACGGAGAAAGCAAAATCTCTATGTGTGTTGTAGACAATGATCTAGTGAGTGTTTTGGTGCTGGCCACCAAGCTTTAGCGCGTAAGAGAAAAAACTCCGAGGTTCACGCGAGAGTCCGCGACTACATTGTTAAGTCGAGAAAAGGGGGGGGAGTTAACTTAACGAAGTTTTTAGGGCGTAAGCAACGAGGTTATAATAATAATATTAATAATAATTAATGATAATAATCATAACATTAACAGTAATAATAATTATTATAAGCGCGATAAGAAAGATACTGATTTATTAATTAATGTTAACGATAACACTCGCTGCGCGAAATGTAATCGAGATCGCGTTCGCTTCAGCTGTCGGGGCGACTTCGTTGAGTAATGAGTAAAAGAGAAGGAGAAGGAAGGGGAAAAAGGGGAAAGACGATCAAGTGTTATCGATGATGTACCTCTGCACTGACGCCGAGTTTGAAACTTGGCGAAAGTATTCGATTAGACGGCGAATCTTTTAATTATTTAGCGCGAATGCGTCTTTGATTGTATTTTTGGCATGGACGAGCGGAAACGCACTCGTTCTTTCTGTAAACGTTTTCTCTTGTCGCTCGTCTCGATGGATCTCGCGAGTGTGTGCGCAGGTACAAAGATAAAAAATAAAAGAAACGCCACAAAATACAATTTGTCATACAAATCTTATTGGATCATCGTGATTCGTCACGCTTCTAAAGCATCGTTGCTAGAGCAACGAAATGTCTTCTCTAATATATACAGTCTACCAGTTGCTCGTCAGTGTCCAAAAAAATAAAGTAAAATAAAATAGAGGGAGAAAAAGCCGGGGAGGAAAAACATGCAGAGAATTTGGTCCAATGATGATTTACAAGCATAACAAATCGCGATGATTCAATGAGATGTGTAATAATATTTAATAATAATAGATTGATAATGATGATGAGATGGGGAGAGAAAAATAAAAATACCTGTTTGATTGCTGGACAGTTAAATGAATGTATTAATATCGTGTAATCGTCGTACGAGATATATGTGTAATAAAACATATTTATTGTCGGAAAAATCTTGATTTTTCTTTTTCACAAATCCATTCAAATGACCAACACCATCTTTAAAATCTGTATAGACATAAAAATATTTGACGAACACGTAATACCTGTATATTCATAACTTTTTTTTTAATAAATGATAATATAATTAATGAACATGGGATAACTTTTAATTCAATCGCAATGAATTCTTTTTATATAAAGGAAGAACGGGAGACGATGGAGTAGACTGAAACCACAGGGTCGTCTTAATTATTTGTAAATATATTATTAAGTATAACATCTATAATATAATAATAATGTAATAATGAAAAACCATTTACATTAATAGGTATCATTTACATTAATAGATAATATTGTAATCCAATAGTAAAACACTCAGTTATGTATAGATTCTCGATAGCCTTCAAGCGTGATGAATTTTTAGAGTAGTAGTACCATCAGATCGCGCGTGTTACGGTGTAATTACAGAACATTTTTCCGTCGACTGTCCGTAGGTATTTTTTCCCCCCTCCTATCAATAATACATACAATAGTTTTGTAAGTTGTCGTCGCCGCCTCCCCTAATTTCCTATTTGATGATCCACGCCGCGCGCCCACACGCACATACGCGGGGGATAAAGCCGATATTTCTCAGTGAAAAATGTGTGCCTTTTTACACCTTGTGATTACTCCTAATCTATCGTCTCGTTATTGCGGGTATATTGGGATGCTGGAAATCGTGTGCGGTAGCGGCTGCCTCCGGATTGAAATTCGAACGACAATCAACCGTCGCGAATCCTAAAACGGAAAGAGGGAAGCTTCGACACACGTCCGGATTTATTCGCGCTAATAAAAAGTCCCGCGAGATCGGCCGAACTCCTCCCGACGAGGTATACCTGAGTGCACCGGCTCGAAAACGAAATAACGTCGATAGGAGGAATTCGTCAGAATCCTCGATTCGCCAGGTCAATTCGACGCGTGCTCGTGTATGAATTTATTATAGCGGCGCTCCGTCGTTCACGAAAATCGATTAAAATTACCAAGTTAACTCGCTAAGACTTAGAGACGGTAATAGTCGTTGTGTTCGTGCCCTACAGGTAGTGACGTGTGCGCGTGTTCGATTACACTGTATAAGGAGAGCGGAAAGAGAGAAATCCCCTCCCACGTTTACGTTATAAACATCTGGATTATTTAACCGCTTATTGTTAAGAGTTATCCGCCACTTAGTTCGCCCTCGTGCGCCGGATGACATCGAAATATTCCTCCCAAGTATATTGTACACTTTGCCTTCGTCGTTCTGCAAAAGTTCTCTCTTGAATCTCTTCGCCACTCGTAAGATACAAAAGAAAAGAAACGCAAAGGAACAAAATAGAAAAGAAAAAGATCTGGTAGCTCCTGCGACACGTCCTACGTTTGATTTCGGAAGTTTGAAAACGGGCTACTTCGATGCGAATTCGAATTATTATTACGCGGTGGCGGAGGCAACTTAATTAGCGATTGCGGGTGCACCTACATGGATTATTTTACAAGAACAGAGCTTAATCTCGTCGATGCGAGACTGACGTCGGTCGCACCGGTCAACTTCACAACAATAAAAACATAGTATATATATATTTTTTTTTCTCACAATATAATTTATCTTTAAATATTTCTGTATATTTGTATAACTATTTAACCTTCGATATAAATACCCTGAAATCTACACTCTCGCGATCACTATCGTAAAATTGAATTCACCTCCGGCTCGCTTCTTTTTCTAATCCTTCCTCCTCCAACGTCTTCTTTTTACAGCAAATGTCTCTTTTCGTGCCGACGTGCACGATGCGAGATTGCGCTCAATCGTGTTTGTCTCTCTACATATATTCGAATCCATTAAAGTCTACTATGTACATACAAATAATCTCCCCCGCAGCCCTCGATTCTGGGATGCAACTTAAATGATGGTCCGGCGAAACGTATTATTTCGTGTTTACTGATACCTGCCTGCGAAGCAGTTTGTAGAACAGAATAGCACAAGCTTGCTGTACTGAGGTACTAATAATTGACAGAGAGCACGGAACATAAATGTACATATCGGGGATCACGGGTTGCAAGGAAAAATAAGGCAGTTAGAGCAGCCGGCACTCTGAAATCTTGGATTTCTCTCGTGAAATTTCGTATACGGAACAAATAGAGAAATTAGAGCAATCAACTGTTGAGGACAGAAAACGCGATCTCGTCATATTAAAGATATAATTACAAACAATTGTAGAGAAGAATTTACAAAAGTTATTTTATGCGTATCACACATGGATAAATAATTAAACGCGGTAAGAAGGAATCGAACGCTGATCGAATACTGTCCTTTCGATCGTCGACTATATTCTTATCATTTCGTCGCCTATATTTTATTCGGTTTATCTAATAGTGTACAATTTATAGCCAACATCGAATTGTCGCGTAATATATTTATATTGTTTGCGTATATCTAACTGCCCAAGTAAATGTGTATAATCGATTAATACGCGGTCGAATACCGTTCCTGCCCTCCGTCTTGCGATCAGAGAGCCCTATAATTAAAATATTTCGGATAAAAAATATGTATATCTTGTCGACATGTTGGTTTCTGTTACGAGGATCGTATCAAACGATCGCACTATCGCCGTTTTCGTAACTCTTTTCTTTTTATACAATAACTCTCAACGTTTTAAATTGTATTCAACAAAATCTGATACACGGTCGATTTAAAATTAAATCCGTAATTAATTAGTTTCTCAAAGGTTCATTGTATAATGTTAAGATTTATCTTTATTGGATCATTCCTGAAAAATCACATGAAAGTTCGGAATCTATTTTACTAATTTCAGACTCTTTCAAGGAACATGTCAAATTATTCGTAAAGATTATGGCTAAATTTTACGGAAAAGACCTGAATGTTATTTATCATTAATATCGCATGCAGCCTAATCTACTGCCTATTTTCTCTCCGATTACCGATATGTTGTATTGCAATGATCTTCCATGATCATTTGATAATTGAATCGAATAATATTATTTTCAAATTGCACTTCTTTTCTTATCTTATGTCTTCAATATTTCGATTAGTATCGCGAAGAATCATATTTATGTGAAATAAATAAAAGAGATTAAATTGAATTTTTGTTAAATCAATCGAACACTTATTCGACATTTCTTTTAAATCCGCAAAATTTAATCTTTTAACTATCGTATTCTATTTCGTGAGTCATTAAAATAATCGTTTGTGCCATCATTATTTCATTCTTTCAACCTAATTAAGTTCTTTCGCATTAGAGAAAATGATTGACGGCAGTGATATTTCGTGTTTATCTCAGATTGTTATCATCTCGAGTTCTTGCGCTGCAAGTACATTTTCGTTTCGCGTTACGACTATGACACCCAGAATAGGATCGCACGACCGAGATTTCTCGATCACTTCACAGAAACTCTTGATGGCGTACAGTAGGTATCGACCTCACATTCATCGCACGAGGATTAAAGTTCAATGGCGGATCAGTGTAGTTTTTTTTTTACAGAGTGACTTACATACCTAAACGCTCCCATCTCGATAAATATCTCTCCCGCGCGAGGTGTACAAAAGAAAGCGAGGAATTCTTTAGGAGCAAAGAGTCCGTTCATCTCGTTCGTTATTCTGCCCTTATGGTTCTAACAGCGATAGTAGTAATTACAGTAATAATCGTTCGTATGGTTTCTCTCTTTTTACAGCGGCTCCTCCAACGGCAAAGAGCGATTTCGTGCCACGAAGCTTTTAACGGAAATGCGTATAATTACAGGTTGGACGTGGCAGTTCTCTTATTCTTCTCTAAGTAAGTACATGTATCGCCCGTCGCACTTAGAAGCGTCGAACGCGTCCGGCGAATGTGGCAGCGGCTGCGGAGCTACTTCTAAGTAGTTATAGATCTATCACTTCCTCTCTCTTTCTCTCTTTCTCTCTCTCACTCTCACTCTCACTCTCTCTCTCTCTCGTTCTTTTATTCTCTCTTTTACTCCCTCTCGATCTATGAGCAACACTCATTTCGTATAATATTGGCCCCAGCACCCTTATTATTTTCTTTTATTATTACATCATCTCACGCGACGACTAGTACAAGCGTCAAGAATTTGCATAATATCGAGCGAAATTAGTATTAGATCGTTGACAGAAAATATTTTTTAAATGAGAATTTGTGTGTATGTACATATTCAAAAGAATTTATCAACATTTAGCTGCTATAATATAAGATTAAGGGATGAAATAATCGAAGAATCAAATTAAGTAAAAGTTGAGGAATTACGATTGCACTTTAATGCTGTGTATAAATAGATACATATAAATGGACGTAATAAATAAATGCGCATCTTGCGACAAGACACCGTCTGTAAAAGATAAAAGCACAAATAAGAGCCCGAACGCGTCGCCCCTTATTTCCGGTCACGACCTCGCGAAACCAGCGGCTCTTTTCGCGAAACTCAATAAGTCGTCGTTGGGTTTTCTTCACATCTTCAAAGGCAAACGTACACCGTTATACATACAACAACGCAAATCCACGCCAACTCTACGTACGAAGACATCCGCCACGCAACACGTTCTCGCTTTGACCTTTTTTATCAGAGAGAAACGTAACAAATCCTCCGATGTATGAAGGCAACACAAACGAGGTTCGCTCGAGAGCGATAAATATGACATATTTTTCCGCTGCGATCACGGTTGGGCGTGGTAATTAGAGGATAATTTCCGCAACTGCTTGTATCAATAAAATTTGAATAAGAGGGAGGAATATTTCGCAGCTGTTGCATATAAAAACCAATGCAGTAAAACATTTCTTCTCTTTATTTATAATTTATGAAGAGATACTATTAATAACGATAATAAAAAAATTCTGTAAAAAACGTACGACATTAAAAAAGGCTTGAATTAATTATACATGTATGTATAATATTTTTATACACTTTTTTTGCAATAAGGTAGTTAAGTTTTGACTCTTTCTTCAATAATAACGTTATTTCGAACGATCTCTCGTATAGCGGAACGTGTGTAGGAAGCTCGCGTTTCGTGAACGCATCCGATTTTTATGTACATTCGTAAAGCCTCCCGGCTCTCGCACTCGGCTCTGCCACATTCGCGGGGCTGGCACATGCATTTCTATTATGTATATATACCTTACCCGTTTCCGACTTGTCTATTTTATTTTTCTTAATCACTTTTACCCCCATCCCTGCGTAATGACGCACTCGCGCTCGCGCTCGCACTTACGTCCTAAGATTGATTATTTAGTTTACCACACCGTACCGGAACGTCTCACACATAATCACCGCAAATGCAATATTTCGCAATAAGAGTCTTTGTCCTTTCAACTATATAGCCACCGGTATGTGGCGCGTCTCGGCTCAGTGGCATCACCTCGCGATGTATCGGGCGAGGAGGGCGCCGAGGAGGACGATGTGAAGAAGCGAGCACCCGAGAGACATGGGCACCCGAAGCGCCCACGTGGTGGTCCCCGACGAGGCGTCGCCGCATTGAGCTGGAAACACGCAATCGATATTTTCCTTAATAAATCATAAGAATAAGACACGTGAACAAGGGAATAAGATGCAAGAAGAGATAGAAGTCTAGGACGCCGAATTCGCTAGATCAATAACGCAACTTCAAGTTAAGATAGCTCGGTAAACAAGCTATTTCCAAATCAATTTCTTTAAATTGAGAAGACTTTGCTTACCGAGCGTGGACGCAAAATTACAGTGTCATTTAATAATCATAGTTGAAGAAAGAAAAAAAAGTGGCGACCAAAAGTACCGCAAATAATCTCATACAAAGCGAAACTACGGCGAGTGGAGTCGCGCGTGTCACACATCCGGTATTAACAATGCTCACCGTACGACGTGAGGTTCACCTGCCACGAGACTGGATAGCGATGAGAGGCCCTCGGACAGGAAGCGAGATGGCCCGTCACCGAGAGTTCACGACTTCCTGTCGTCGCGGCGGACGCGCTGTAAACGAGGCAGTAACGCCCGACGTCGGTGCTAGCCACCAAGTAAGCGGTGTCGTTCTCCACCCAAGTTCCGTGGCATAAGTACTCTGGAAAACGAGACAGCATCGGCTGTGAGCAGAGCGAGATAGAAAGAGAAAGAAAGAGAAAGGAAAGAAATGGGCAGCGTGTTGTTCCGCGAGTTATTCTCCGCGCGTCTAAAAAGCACCGCGCGCAAAGTCGCATTAAACTTCTCGATTTCTTAAAGTACTGCGAAAGCAGAGCGAGATTATGGGCGCCCGTATAACTTCGCGCCCATAGTATATAGGAAAAGTTTTTTTTTCTTTTTCAAGACCGTTTAAAGAACCGACGACAATAACATGCTACGCCACACAAAGCAAATTTGACGGAGCAGATGGAAAAAGGCCATAAACTCGTTAATGAGACGCGGTATTATCTTCGTCGCTGCTCAAGCTTGTTCTCCGACTCTAAAAAGGGCATCTGTTTTGTACCGTGGATATAACAAAAGAAGGAAAATTAGTTCGTGTAGCAGGAAATTTTCTAAGTCGTTGAAAATTATAGCAGATCATTAAGGAAGTACGTGAAGTAGAAATATGGAATGGTGTTAGTCATGAGTTATTGAGTTACATTAACATTCTTATTTTTAATTATAGTTACGAAAATTAATTGTCTCATCAAAACGTATACTATTGGATTTATCGCTCATAAATTTTCATAATTTCGCTATCGCGTGGACGAGATAACCGTAATCCCTCAACCATTCAATTAACGTATCCATGAAGGGTGGGGGAGGGGAGGGGAGATGCGATTCGTTCGTCCGGGGAAGCTACTTTTATGTCATCATTTTTACGGCACTTGCTCCTCCGCCTTCCGGCCGTAACAATGCGCGCGAGAACGGAAGAGGAATAAACGAGGGCCGTAAATCCTTCCGACACATCGATATCAGTGACGTTTCGAGCGACGATACCCGATCGTACTTGCGAGATAGTAAGATGAGAATTTACTGCGGTCGCCCCCGACAGCTCGTGACTTCGCGTAAAGAGGAAACGCGAAACCGCGCATCGTGTTCGACGACGGGCAGTGGCACCTATCAACGGTAAAAACTAAACGCGTTAAGCGTTGACATTGATGTATCAGAATAAATGTACAATTTTTTTTTACCTGTTGTTCACCCGGATTCACGAACGCGACGCGGCTTGGGATAAATTAACGATCGATCATCGTACGCCTAATCTGATGAAACGATTCGATAGATGTATTAAAGCGATCGAGTAATTTTATTCTTCGAGAAACGGTAAAACGGTTTATCTTACTTTGTGCCGTAAACTTCTCCCGGAAAACGCCGATTCGGAAAACGCAAACGCACGCGAATTCTAAAAGTAAATCAGCGTTTGGTAACAAAGACCCCGAAACGCGGCTCTAAATTCGTCGGGAATTCAGAGATTAGGGTGCATAATTAGACAAGAAAGTCCGTGAAATTTAGAACACGTGTTGCCATCGTTTTCCTGCCTGACGAATTCGGATTCCGACGCGAAACGAGAGAGAGAGACTCGGTATGGTACGATAACAACACGATTAACGATCGCGCTCGGGAAGTCACGATGACGTCGTTCTATATAAGCCGCGAACCGAGCGCGCACCGAGCGCGCACCGAGCGCGCTGTTTATACGAAATCTTAATGGCCATTCTGCCTTCTCATCGCCGTTGTCCTCGTCTTCATCGTCGCTGGTATCTGTGTCTCGGAATACAATCCCGTGTCGACAGCCGCGAGGCACGGGTCTCGAGTGTCTAAATCCTCGGTTGTGTCAACATGTCCCGGTAACTCGCGCCGCTAAAATAATTCCCGGCTACGAAACGCTCTCTCTTGCTCGGTAGTTCTGTAACGTATCAATGCTCTCGCGGATTACACATAGAAACACCACCGACTTCGCACGCGCTGCGCATTCGTATCGTTTGCTTTTCACAAGGGATTTAACCCGCCTTTTATCTTCTCGACGATCTAGCTAATCTGAAAATCGCCTTAAATTACTTTGGGATCACTTTGTTATTATTATTATCATTGTTGTCGAGCTAAACACGCAGGTTACACACTGACGTTGATAAAATAGGAGAATTTGATACCATAGAGTTGTTTTGATTGATTTTGTACGAATGCGTAAATGGATATATCCCGTCGAAATTAATGGATCTCTGTAATAATAACGCTCGATGTATGTATATAATTTATTATCAGTCGAATTAGTTTGATTGTGCAGACGTAGCAAGGGAAAAAGTCCTGGTCAACCGACAACGCGCGACGTGTCAATTTTTATGTATGGAGTCAAACGAAGTGCACAAAGTTAGCGCGGTCGTAAGCAAGCGCTATACTTCGGCAACCGTGACGCCTGCTGCCTTTCCGCAAACTAACTATCACCACTTGTGATAACTTTGCGCGAACTAGGACGGGAGACGAGAGGGAGGTGCGGGTAATCCGATAAGATGTTCCGGGCGAACGTGCTCCAACCCATGTCGAGTCTTCTCCCTCTCCCTCCTTCTCCTCTCTCTTGAACATCCCGGACGCTGAACATTCTACTGAACCACGAAGCTGCTCCGAATATGTCGAAGACAATGAACGACGATGACTGCCTCGAGTTTTTCGAGCCGTTCACATTGTCCCCGGAAGCTTCTTTTTGAAAATACGTTATATAGTTTATAGAACCGCAGATATAGAAAAGAAGTCAAAAAGATTTAAAGATGACGATAACGACGACGATTATGTCCGTTAACCATGCCGACCCACGTCACACGTCGAGAATCTGTCGAAGTTTGCGAGCGCTTTCAAAGCTCGTCGGTTGTCGTGAATGGAATCTTCTTGTCGCTTATCGGACAATCTCTTTGATTAACTTCCCTTAGTTAAGTGAAATCGCACGGGGTACAAAAAGAATCTTCGTAGCGCACAAATGCCCTCGTACGAAATAAGTCGCTAGAAATCGCGATTAAACTATAATATACAGATAAGATAATAAACTAATTTTAGGACAAAAAAAAATATTTCTAGCTATCTTTTCAACTATTTGTTCAAATGGTAGAATTATTATTTCATATAAGACTGAGAATTGAAAGCTCTCGCCGAGTTATCTTTTTTGTGGTGCAAATAACGAAATAATATAAATAATAAAATTGTATCTCTCATTAAATTTTATGTGCACCATCGTTCTCAGACACTAGGAAGTATTCTAAAGCTGAAATAACGCGTTCACGAGAAGCAGATGGGATAATCCTTACCGGATAACGCCTCGTCGCTGCAAGACGTGGCGAACTCCATGCGATCGGGTGTCCTGCAACCGATGTCCAGTCTACGTACACTACCGTGGTGGCACTGGCTTGGGAACGCTGTCGAGGGCACTCTCACGTCGTGCACCTCCGCTGCGTTAGCAACGTTCTGCTCGCCGTCGACGGTCAATACGCTCTCAACATTGTCGGCGTTCGGTGGCCGAAACAACGATACGATATTGTAGCGACCGAGATTGGGGCATTGCCTGGTCATCGGATCGGACGCTGAAAACGAATAAAGATGATTTATTATTTTCGCGTGTCTCGCTATCTTAATCAGATCATGATACAGCAATTCCCATTGGCACGCACTTTTATCAATTTTATTTTTAATAATTGATCAAGCAACATACAAATGGAGCGACAAAATATAAATGGACTGTCTATAAATTTTCTGAAATTTTCTCGCGTGAAGAACAGCCTCCATTAACTTTCACGTGATCCCTCGACAAGCGACAGAAGATCGCTGCTTATATTGTAACTTTTAGCCGAGCAATTTGATACGCGATCGACACGCAGTCGACGCGTTCCGCACGCTAACGTGAACGCGTTCTACTTTGTTCCTAGAGGAAATTAACGCAACACGATCCGCGTCAAGGTAAGAACCCGCTGTTTATTGCGTTCAACGTCAAAACGGCGAGTCTTTCGGGACGTTCAAAAAGTTTGACGCGCGAAAGATTCTTGCTCTTATATTTGCGTCTTTCTTGCGGTTTCATATTCGGTACATCAGCCACTGTCTTGCCAGGACTAAACTTTACATCAGGCTTTCTCAACCAATAACAAGTTTTAAAAAAGATTGAAAAAGCAAACGCATTTGCAAAAGTGTCATTATTGAGTTTATTTAAGTAAACTTCAACATGATTGAAATATTTGTTGTTAAAATTAAGAAAACAAACTGAGATAAGATATAAGATGTGCTGCACGCGCAGTAAAAACATCATTCTATTCAAACTATACTTTGAAATTAATAGACAAATGGACATATAGATGTATATGAGAAATGTCATAGTCTTGTTGAAAAAGATTGGGAAATGCTACTTTTACACGGTGTAACTTTCAGCCGAGCAATCCTCGGCGGTAACACGCTCGTGTATCCGGTGAGTGTGCGCCGCGGCACAAAAGAGAAGACGAGCGCGAATGTCGGCGCGATAAATTCCGCGCCGGCGACGCGGCGGAACGGCTCCGCTCTTCGTCAACGTTGCTGGAATCGGGCTAAGGAGAAACTGAAAGGCGAGCCGACTCTACGAGAGAGACTTTACGACAGATCTCCGGCATATGATCCTTTATGCGCTCATAAACCCGCGCTTCGCGAATTGATTGTTAAACTCCGCCATTCGCGAACTTCTCGCCGAACGCGCTCGTCCGCTTCTCTCTCTCTCTCTCTCTCTTTCTAGCAAGTACATAGGTACTTTCCATCACCGGGTACATGGGTAACAGGCCCCCTCCAAAGTACCTTTCACGTACAGATTCTTGGACAGATTTGAGGTAGATTTATCCTTCGCAATAATGTCGAGGCATCAATCATTCTTGAGCTATAGCATTGAGGATCTAGGAAATTTCGCGAAACAGCCCTCGGGGCAAAGATAGATAACGAAACTTTTATTCCTCGTTTAATTTTAAGCAGACTTTTTACTTTAAAAGACTCTTAAGAGTTCAGGCTTAGTTGCAAAAATATTTAAAATCGAATGTTGGAAGATTACTAGAACTTTCATCGAGCTCTCGCGGGCGAAAAATTGGCTCCGAATTGATCGAGGGACCTGCGGATGAAGCAAAATAACGGAATTTAGAATGCTTTCTATACGCGGAGCTTGTCCGCTCGAAACGCACGTGAATCCATATGTCAGGGCTAGGGAAGAACCCGTAGAAAGTCGAGACAAATCACGCGCCCGAGTGTATATGCATTTGAGAGAATCGTCCGTGAGACCGCCGTACATCCCGACGTCGCCGGACTCTCACGGATCGATGTCTGGAATTGGCTTTAGAAGCTAAACAGAGCGCTCTTTCGTTAGACCACGAATCACGTTTTATTCGGAAACTCCGAAGCAGAGTATCGGATGGCTGGCGAATCAGCAGAGCTCGTGCGAGTTGCGATGTAACGTACGCGTTTGCAAAGAGTATATACGATGTGATATATTCTCATCGATAGAGTACAATTCTCTAGATGAAAAATCCCAGGATGAACAAATGCGTCAGTACGAGACCAATACTATTTAAAGCAACGATAGAACATTCATAAATACTTGGTCGGGCGAAACATTTCGAGTTCTCTCTCTGTTTTGCGCACCGCTCTGTCTTGACTCGCTTATCTCCTGTCAGAGTAACTCGATAAGATCGAGACAAACCAGGGGACGCGGCCAATGAATCGGAAGAAAAACGAAGAGCTCTATCGGGGGGCTTCGAATTGGCACGAAAGCACCGGGAGGCCCGGAAATCACCTTCGAGCAAACGTTCCTGATTCCGGTTTCCGGCCGCAACGCGGGCGCGGTCGAATTTCCAATCTACTTAATCTTGGCTTACGGCAAGAAAGAAATGGGCATATATATTTTACGATCCCGTTACATTGGCACCTCTCTCTCTCTCTCTCTCCCTCCCTCTCCCTCTCCCTCTCTCTCTCGCTCGCTCGCGGTAATGGATCTCCCGCGAATCGTGAAGAAATTTCACGCCCGCGGAATGCTCGAACATGTTTTATTTTACGTGCACTTTAACGCGCTTCCGTTCGGAGCGAAAGCAACGTCGAGGTGAATAGAAAATTAAGAAGCCGCAAATATTAATCGAACGATAGTGTAGCTGACTCGCTTTAAAAGGAGAGCGAAAGAGAGCGAGCGAGCGAGTGAGAGAGAGAGAAAGAGAGGGGAGGGGGAGAGGTGGGGAGAGAGAACTGCCCTTTGATAACTTCCAAAAGAAACTGCAAGTTAATTTGCGAACAGCCTCATCGGTCGCAATATCGGCAAATTAATTTACCCTCGATTGATTACGGTTGTAATACCGACAAAGCAAAAATGCCGGGATGCATTAACGGCGGGACCGGTCGCGTTTAACTGCGTTAATTGAAACTGCAGTAACAAACATATAACACGATCTGTCAACTGAGCACTGTTAAGCGTAATCAAATTTGCGTATATTACATTTGCCGGGGCTCGGAAAGTTGACACCCCGCATTAAAGCCCAATTAGTTACTTTACAGCAGCGACGTGATATTGCGACGACAATGCGTAATTCGATTAGGAGATCAGAATTTACTTACTGATGAACGTCGTGTACGGCATCGTGTGCGAGTTGAACGTGCTCGAGTTGCATATATCGTCGGGCTGCTGGCCCCATTCCGACAGTTGCATCTCTATTACGTGCTCGTCCCTCCTGTGGAACATGACGCACACGTATCCGTTCTTGCTGAAAAGGAGACGTACAAAAGCGTTAGATAACGAAAGAATCGAAAACGAGGTCGTGAAAGTTGAATTTTAAAAACTAGGAGAATTGTTTAAACTCCGAATGCACCGTGACAAAGTAAATTTTTTAAAACTGAGACTATTTTATCTCGCTAGGATTGTTGGAATCAGTAAGAAAGAGATCACGGAGAGAAGAGGGGGGGGATGTCTCAGTGTGTGAATAACGCCATTTAAGTCCGTCCCTTTAGGCTGTAAAAATAAGGTCTCCCGCGGACAAATAAAAATTTAGATCTGAAAGGATTAGGCGCGCGAGATACGGTTAATAGTCGGTCCAGCGGACCGTTAAGGCTGATCTCGGCAAGACGGGAGCACGATGCGCCCTTCCTGCCCAGAATGGCGGCGGTAGCGGCGACTAGGACGGAAAAAAAACAGGGGAGAACACCCTAAATCTCTTCTCCCATGCGGGATTAAGATTTTATTTTATCAGAACCTTTCTTAACGGCCGAACGTTAAGTTTAACGCAATTCTTTTACGGCCGACCGCCTTTACGGCGGAATCTGAAAACTCGACTGCCTCATGCGCGCCATGTATCTATACGTACGTATAAGACACGCCGCGTATATAAGTTCATATCTGTATACACCCCGGCCGACCCCCGGCGATATACGTTTACACTGTAACCCCGTGGAGCACCGCGTCCCGTCGTAAGCCGTTGCGCGAGCCGGAAACGACGATCTCGACATATATTTGTCTTACGAGTTCTCCGCCCCGTGAAGAGGGATATAAAGTTTATATTACTTCTCGATGGCTCGCCTCTCGCGAAACTAGTTTCCGCGTCCGGGGATTTCGCGGGCGGCATTACGGACGAATTTTTTGCTGGATTCAATTTAATTGCGCTTGTTCCGGCGCTTGTCAAGGACCGCGACGCAAGAAAGGAACGAACGTGCGTTCCGCCCTCGCGGTGGAATACATAAAGCTCGCGCGCGCCCGCGTAGGAAAATTATCGTTTAATCGTATAAAAGAGAAAATACGCGATAGCTTTCAGATATTCCATAAGCACCGATTCATTTCTCTCCGGGCGAGCTATCCTGAAAACTCGAGCGAATTTGTAAGTCACGGAGGCTTTTGATAGTCGAATTTAAGGCGCAGTTATAGACTTTTACGAACCGTATCGTCTCGACTAACGTGTCGTAAATAACAAACATACAACCGTAATAAAGTTTAAACCATGAGATTTTATTTGCGACATTCCTGTATTGTCATGGCCACAATTTTATTCTTGTTAAAATTGTTTAAATTGTCACGCGAGACGCGTAAATCTGTTCCCGGAGATGACTGAAATAACAGGGTGCATTTTTCAAGATAGTGATACTAGCTAGTGATCAACCAATCTAAATCGAGATCGGTTGATACAAGAACCGGGTCAGAGTGTTAAAAGTTTTATGAAGTCGCTATTTCAGTACGCCAAAGTGTGGAAAAAAAATAAACAAATGGTACAAGAGATAGTAAGGAAAATGATAATCCTCCTTAAATATTCAGCCGTGCTTTTAGACCGCGTCGAGCGTTACGTTATTTTTACCAGCGGAAAGTATATGCTCGCGCAAACGTCAAAATTTCATTATTCGCCGCGAACCATCATTTGCAGGCATGCGGGGACGAGTGGTCTTTTTACGAAAAAATATCCCCCGTAGCCGAGCTGTGTGCGCATTCGGTCGTATAAAAGCATTGTAATAAAACGTGACGAACGTCAGGGGGAGACTTCGTGGAAACCGACACTCGTCTGCGATATGATTGATCGATGTCAGTTTTCCGGGCGAATCACGATACGGTACGATCCACCAACAGCCGGCCACCCTCGCCGATATCCGTACCGCGTGTGTAAAAACATAAATGTATATCGGAAGACGGGGGCGTTAAACAGCTCATGGCCTGACTTTGGAACGCGAAATGAAAGGCGTCGCGAGCGCGGGAAGTCAGCGATTAGAATAACACAGATAGAGTAAAAATATAAAGAAATAGATATAGAAAAGAATAAGGAAAAATATTTAACGCGGAAAAAATTAAAACAATTATCTAAAAGCATATTTCTATCGTTATCTTCACTTAGCGAAAGCCATTTTAAAATATCAGGATAATGAGAGAAAGAAAAAGAAAAGATTCGTAGAAATGATATTTAAATTTCAATGTGTAAAAAAGCGTGGTTCTCGAACGTGTTTGTTTCATCAAATAGTTAAAGCACTATCAAATTGTTGCGGAAAAAGATAAAACGACATATATATCACGCAGGATATGCGATAGACGAAAATACTACAATATCTTGACCAAATATCGACAGTTAACGATACTCAATCACTATGCAATCGAATAAGTAAAAAATCGCTTTCAACCTGACTGATGGTGATCGTATGTCAACGTATTCGAGATGCGCGCGGTGACCGGATGTTCGAAAATATTTGCCGAAGAATATAGAGACATAACGTATAAAAACGGAGCGTAGATCTGTCGTTGCAGCTGTTACCCTCCGAATTAAAACAAAATGTAAAAATATTGATCGATTGCACCGCGGATCGACGGCAGTTTCGCAATTATCTGGGCAAGGCCCATGCGAAGTAAACAATCGCCATAATATCATCTTCGAAGAATGATGAGGTAATTGAGGGCGTCGCACTGATTATGAATAAAAAACACATAACAGCAGAAGTTTCGAAATTGCACCTTAGGGAATTCTCTTAAAAAGCGCCCGTGCAATAACACATAATGTAATATGCATCGCGGCATTGTCCGCTGCTGTGGCTTGAAAATCTGCCAGTGATCAAAATATCCGCATTATTACGCTGCTTTAAAAAAAAAAGTAAAATAGTTCTCTTTCCGCGAGTTCTTTAACGGAACTTTTCCTTCGAAAACAATTCGCGACTGACCGACTGACGCAGATTCTTATCTTCCATCACATGCCTGCGTTAATTGTAAAATTGATAACGTTGTTGGAACATATACACAGCGTATCGATAATCGCGGTGTTCCTCGACAAAAGTTTAGGTCTCTTTAACAGAAATTTTCTATTCTAGATCACACGGTTCACGAGATATTTTCGGAAATTCTCGACGGCAAAGCGAGTAGCCAAACCCGATGCGATAATGCATCGGCGGCGGCGCGGGCGGCGTGATAACGTAAAGAGCGGCAACTTAATTAATTAACTTATGCAGCGCGCAGCCGTTTATATTTGGTTTCTGGCGTGCATCCGGGAACGCCCCGAACCGCCGTTATCGTTCCCCAGCGTGCAGTGGCGTCTTCTTACGAGATCGTGTGCCATCTTCCGTTTCTCTTTCGCCCAGCCCCGCGCTGCGCGCTCACCCTTTCCCGCTCTCGGCGCGCAACGGCCGAATTCCCTGTTCTTCTTCTCAGGAAGTTCTTTCGCACTTCATTGATGATCGCGCCGTAACGTTGATGCCTTAATTAAAATTTTCCCTAATTCAGCGATAATTCGTAATCCGAGGGGCTATTGGTGCCGCGCGCCGCTAATTAAACGCAAATAACTACTGCATATGAATATTTAATCCTGAGAAACGGCACTATTAAAATAGTACTAATTATTGTGAATGTAAGCAATTTATGCTCCGTCGACCATCTGCAATGTAATTCCACCCTCCTCCACACACGTTTAATTACGCCGTTCGTTGTCGATTAAAAATATATCGTCGAAGCTACAATGTTTATCCGCAACAAAATATTCCTTTGACATATGACCTATTGCAACCATCGACGGCGATATATGACGCTCGGGTGACATTGATTTAAAACTTTTCCGTGCTCGACGTGTCAATGGCCGGGTGCACCAGAGGCCATTACCACCGTCGCCACTTACTACAGTGTCCCAAATCGAGGAGGACATTTTTCATAGTCGACTTTTCAATCTAATTTATATTTGCTCGTCAGACCATTCATTCGGCCGTGGCGCGCGCGCGCGCTCATCCGAGCAATTTCACGCTCGTCTTTCCCGGCGGAAAGAAAGCACTCCCCTCTCCTCCTTCTCCCCTCGTCGTGCCCGAGACAATTCCGCGGATCCGAGATATAGGTCGTCCTCGTCAGCGAGCATTTCAAAGATCAAGCGTCGGGAAGGCGATATCCAGGGTCGATTCCGCGTAGTAGAGGTATACCTTTGACCACCGTAGGGACCACCTACGAACAGCGACGAGACTGGTACCGATCGTTGTGCTGTTTCTCTCGTTTTCCTCCATTCTCTTCTTCCTCGTCTTCCTCGGGGCTTTTTCTCCTTCCGCTTCTTCTTCGATTTCATTCCGTCCGCTGAGTACCACCGTGATGAAAGCGCATCAGCGTCGCGGCGTTCTCTCGAGCGTGCGGCAAGCGATATCGCGTGTCTTCCCGTAGAACTCCCGCAATACCGCGGTGTCGAAAATTCAAGGAAATGCAGCTGTTCCGCCATCGCGGATGCGGATGTTATTCTTTTACGAAGCTAATCATCTTCTCCGTTGAAGATGGAGGTTAAAAGGGGATCTTGGGTTTGTATAAATTAAACCGGCAGTAAAAACACTCGCTTCCGCGTCCCGTTTCCCTTTTATATTTTAACTAGACAGTAAAAACATTCCCGTACCATTTTCGATTCTGCGAAACACATTGCGAAACGAGCGTGCTAAAAACGAATTTATAAAATAGCTTTCACTTAACAAAAATACAACGTATACGGCCAAATACGAATAAGGAAACTGTTTCCAACAGTTTCCACGCGGCGGTGGTGTATAGCGTTGTTTCAACAAACAGCCACTTGAATAATACAGTTCCACCGTGTCGAGAACAGTAAAATGCAAGTGGGATATCGCAGTACTGTATTCCGACGAAGGAGTATTTTGATGTCGTTTTCAGATGAAAATGTTGCGTGTATATACACGTAACGCGAGTATTGACGAAGCTTCACCCGTGACAGAACAGTTACGTACCTATTTATTGGGAAATACATGAACCGGAAACGTTATATCTCCCTGTACAGAA